GTTTAGGGTTTAGGGTATGAACCCGATTAGGGTTTTTTTATGTGCAGTAGCCCGTTTAGGGTTTAGGGTTTCCCTCTACCGCGGAACTCTCGGAGCTGAACCACTAGAGTCACTAGAGCCGTAATCCACAGAAAGGGTTACCCTTTGCCCTATAGAACCAATTGCAACCTTGTTCACCCATCTAGGGCTCGGTATTATTCAATATTTCCTCATGTGACTTTCTGGAAAAAACATAATCACTTGAGGTTAGGGTTTTAGGGTTTGTTATCGGGATGTCCCTGCGAGCCTCCGAAGAAGGCGAGGTGTCTGGTGCGGGACATGAGGCCTCCAAGATCAGGGCTTCTGGGATTTCGGTGGCATCGAATGTTATGAAAGCTTGAAGCCCTACACCCTAAACCCTAAACCCTAAAATGTGGATTTGTACCAGGGTCTATAGTATTGAGTATAGGTTTCTAGGGCATATGCTGGAAGCTTTAGTCAGGAGAAAAGCCCCCAGAGGACACACAGGGATCCCCCGAAACGGAACTTGCAACATCAGGAGCCATGCAAAGTTGAGCTGCCGGCATGTTGGATCTTAGGCTTTAGGGTTATTTAGGGCTTGAAGCGTCTTGGAGCACATGTTTCACAGATCACAGCTTGGATAGATGAAGAAGTTATCCACATGGGAGTTTCAGAAATTCAGCACCTCTAGTGACCCTAATGTAGACCTCAGTATGCACCTCTAGGATTTTAATGGCCTGCCTAGACGAACAAAATGAACGTCCCACCCGCAACTGCTGCAGCCTGAGCGCAGCGTGCAGCATCCTCATCTCTTGCCCAACCTCGCCCCAAAAAACAACACAAACAGGCACGACACATTCCAGAACACACCCTAATTTCAACCTCAACCCCCGAGGCCCTAAGCCTCCCAAAATAAAACGAGAGTTCCAGAGCCGTAAACCCAACTCCCCAGAGCCCCGAACCCGAAACCGCCGAGCCCAGGAGTTAGCCCCAGAGCCCTAGATAGGGCAGATAGGGTTTAGATTTAGGGTTTTCGGGTTTAGGGTTTTAGGGTTTTAGGGTTTTAGGGTTTAGGGTTTAGGGTTTAGGTTTAGGTTTTAGGCTTTAGGGTTTAGGGTTTAAGGTCTAGGGCTTTAGGGTTCAGGGTTTAGGGAACCTCAAGAGGCCCAGAAAATCCGTGGAGCCTTTGCCGCATGTAACGGAGCAAGGGCCGAAGTCGCCCCACTCCTGCGGAGGTACGAAAAACGACCTCAAAACAGTTCCCCAAGAGTCCCAGCTGATGCCTAAGTAGTACCCTAACCCTCCAGGGCCCTAGGGGCTCTAGTACACTATATAGTAGATACCCGGGGGGTTAGCGAGTAGGCTTCTACCCACAGTGAGGCAACCTGCGCCCTAATAGCTTCACTCTTGTGTGTATTTGCTTTGCTGACGATGCCAGTTCGCTGCAGGGTTGAGGGCTTGCGGTTTTCTTTTGTTACATCGTCTACAACGAATGAAGCTTCTGTGCGAAAGGGGACTTTTCGGTTTAAGGCTCCAGGATCTTATAAAGACCAACAAAGACACGCCATGAATCGGAATTCTGCAAGGATCACATTCCGGCGACTCAGCTTCTAATTCCTCTGCTGCTTGTTGATTAGGCATTCCAGAGTCGATACAGCACACGGCACAGGCCTTCTAAATCTGCTGCTTGACGCGTATGTGGCTGCTGATTCGATCCAGATGCGACAGTAGGAGCCTGAATCAGAACCCTGAGCCCTAAACCCATTGGAATATGGTTTTGGTGTACACCAGGAATCCCCTCTGTGCCACAGTTCCCCCGAGGCTGATGAGGCCCACATCCTGACCCCACCATCCTCGACCCCAAGACTCCCTGTAAAAGCCCTCAACCTTTAATCCGAGAAGCTTTAGATTCCCAGAACCATATTTGTGTGGGTGATTACGGATGACTTTTGCTTAAAGAAGGGCTTAGCATGATGCTGACTTTCGGGCCTCTGAGACTCTGGGTAGAAACCGCAACCCTCGGCCCGACGCGAAAAGCCCCTCCATCAAACCAGAGAAAAACTAAAACGCACTGCAAGTTGTGCCTGGCACAAGTTTAAATGCTAGTCCCTAATTGAGCCATCTATGATAGAGGCTATGCTATTGTTTAGGACGATGGATGCTTCGACCGGGTGTCCCAGCGAAGGAGCAGGCGCCGCTGTAAGTCGCCTATATTTGAGGATACCAGTATCCCCAATTAGGGAGTACCCTCATTTTTAGCTTGGGTTTAGGGTTTAGGGTTTAGGGTTACTTCAGTGACTAAGTCCCCAGACACGCTGTAAAAGCCCAAACCCGCCCGCCCAACACCCCAAAACCGACACCTGACTGTTTGAGTACCTGGACCCGCTAGGACCGAATTCCTAAACATCACCCTTATAAAGTGAACTTTATAAACCCTGTAAACCTAAACCCAAAAAGTTGAGGTTCTTTATTTCTGACGTCTTAGCCATGTCCCAGAACAAAAACCCCTTTCTAAAGCCCCCGTGAAAGTCCGGCCTGCCAGACGCAAGTTCTTTTGTTGCGGCACACATCACCACAGTCACCCACTTCCTTTGCAAGCCATGAGGGCTGTCAAAGTCGTTGCAGCTAGGAGTTTCATATCATTCTTGTCGGAAATTCAAGCGGCCTTTGAAGAGTCCAGCGGATAGGTTGGGGGGGGGGGGGTTTAAGCGGGAGCCAGGAAGAGGGAAGAAGGTCTGTAGCCTGACATAACCCCTTAAGGCAGGAGAGCCCTAAACCCGAATTGAATCCTCAACCCTATGAGCCCTAAACCTTATCCTCAAGCCCCTGGGCTTCCCATAAACTCCCACTCTCCTCTGTCCCCGCCCGGTACCACTATGCCGACTGAATTTCGCCTCTACAAGTATATGGTTTAGGATTCTGGTTTTCACCGACAAAGCCTGCATCTAACGCATGCCCAAATATGAAAAAATAAAGGATGCACACCCGGCTTCACTTGCAGACTGGCCCACCGGTGAACCCGCAAAAGCTCCACCTGAAACCCCAAAGCCCGGAACATTGAGAAATGAATTGAACGCCGAAACTCAAGACCTTTCAAGACCCTCAAACCTACAAAGATTGAGTAGTCCTTAACATAGGGCCTGACAATTACTATGAATTAGCAATACTATTGCTCTTTTTTACAAGTTCTACTACACTCTACCCCAAAACCCTATTCTATCTATTCTCACCTCTTTACTGCACCCTTATAGTAGCCTTTAACCCCTGTTAGCCTTGATAGTCACCCTTAAAGGGCTCCTCTATTTTCCACCTTCCAACCCGGCCCGGGATGGACCCCGCGGCCTCCGTAGGCTTCGGCTGACAAACTTCGCCGCCGCAGGCCGGGTGGGTGGCGATGTGTCGATAGCGCCTCGAGGTTTTAGGGTTTAGGGTGTATACAGCCTGAGTAATCAGAATAGGGTTTTGAGGCCCACTATACTAAAATTATAGCAAGGAGCTCCCAAAATAGTATCGGTATTTATTTAGGCTCCTACATTACAAGGCTCTGGGTTTTCTGAACTTAGGCGAGGGTTTTTGAAATTTTAGAACCTTTTGGGTTGAGGAAGTTGAGGGATTAGGGTTCGGGTCGTGGCGCTGGGCTGAAGCCTGAAAGCACGTGAAGGATCTGGGGACTATAATAGGATACAATACCCTAAGGCTCTAAGGACACATGCTTTTTAACGCTTTTGGGCCCAAAGACCATACTATCTAAGGCTTTTGGGCTTATTTGAGTTCTATATACTGTACCAACTCAAAAAAACATCCTGGATACATAATCTCAGAAATTAGATAAAATGCGTGCTACGTACAATACGAGAGTCACAGAATATATCCCAAGAAACACACATACCAAAAATGCTAGCAAATTTACCCACAAGCCACATTCGTACAAGAATCGATTGCAAGTTCAACTTGCCCTCGAAAGCTGAAAGCCCTACAGTCTCGGCCCCCGGGCCCTCCCCTACACCCCAAATCATAAACCCTGACTCACCCCGAAACCTCGAGCCTAAACCATGCAGCCCCCGAGCCATGAAGCTCAGGACGTGGCTTCCGTTGAGCTGTGCAGTGCTCGCAGTAGCTCCAACTCAGCATAGCGGTTTGGGTCCAGAAGCTACCCCCCAAAGTCCGGTTTAGTTTACGGCTTGGGCTTTAGCGTTCGGAGAAGAAAACGAGACCCGGCGGCAGCTTTGAAAATTCGGCAACAGAGCCCTCGGAAGGAGCGATGTGTTTGCACACCTAATCCGGTCCCAAACCCGCGAAGCAAGCCCTAAGCCCAAAAACTGGATCCATACAATGCAATCCGATAGTTATGTTGTCGTATACTTCTCATAGGGAGCCCTGGGGAATGGTGTTAGAAATTCTACCGACCTGTAAAATCAACACCCAAAAGCCCGCACTGTCAAGACTTCGACAAGAAGTGCCTCAGCAAGCATTCCACCCTAATCCCAAGCCTCCTTGTCGCCCCAATAGCTCAGCTTGATCTCCGAAACATGCCTTCTAAGCGGGACTCAGGGTAGGAGCATTGCCGGACACCATCACGGGCATCAGAGTCACCAAGAGGCTTGTCGGCTCCAGGATCTACTACCTGGAGGCTGATAACAAGTCACTGTAATTAGGTCGAACCCTGGCCGAAAACAAGCCTGATTGGGACATCAACGTTTATGCATCGCACCGCTTGTCCATCCCGCGTTCGGGAGGACGTAGGTCAGTCAAATTTCGCACACACTCGCTTTGGGAGAGAGAAATGCGAAAGATCATCCACAACACATCCTGGCGACAATTCCCAGCACGTGCACCAGATTGGGAGTGGACGCAAAACTGTTTCGCTCGAACCACTTCGGGGAATCCTGATCATGCAGCTAAATAGAGCACAGAGTCTCTCTCACACTTTACCGGGAGAGCCTGAGCAACGACGGAGAATATGACGAAAATAGCTTGCGCCGCTTGAAGCAACTGGCATCTCACCATTTGTCAGCCTTGGTGTAGACGTAATTTGCCACATCTTCGAAGTTATCAAGTCGCAACTTCTGCCCGACGGAGGGCAGAGCAAGGCCGCCGTCGGTCATGCGGGCGATAGTGGCCTGAACGTCGTGCTTGCGGTACTCGACCACGGCATCTTGATTGATCTTCGCTAACGCGAAGAAGTTGCTGCCTTGCACATGACAGGCGGTACAGCTGCTACTTAACAGAGCATCACCCTTCTCCAGGTCTGCAGCAAAGGTAGGTCGGGCTGTGGCCGTGGCAATCAAGAGCCCCAAGACTGTTCCAAGAGCAAAGGAGCTCCAGGAGGTTCTCTCTGGAGTCTGGCTCTTTTCCATGGGGAGTTCCACCACAACACCTGGGAGTTTCAGAAAACAGGTGACAAGCGGGCTCCGATATAGACCCTACATAGTAGGATCCTCATTAAAGGGGCCCCTAAATAGGGTAGACCTATCTTCCGAATCCCCCACCTGATTTCGCCCGAGGCAGCGAGTTGAGGCTCATGGGCAAGACGAAGCAGCTGGCACCATAGAGGAACACGCAGCCGGCGCATACGATGCTGACTCGCGGCATGGCTTGGTGCAGGAGAAGGGGGGCTACAACTGGTCACGGAGAGCCAAGAGGCAAATGCCTTGAGCCAGAGCTTCATGATTTGGAGTAGGTCTTTCACAAATTTCACAGCGTTACTTCGGAAACATCGAACATGTTACAACTCCTGCGCAGACAGTGTCGCAAACCATGTGACTACCTGATGCAATACCGCCCCCCTGAGTTCAAACCACGAACTCCCTTCACCCTCAACCACCGAACCTTGAATTTCTGAACCATTAACTGCCGTTAACTCAAAAGCCTACCTTACACTCAACAACACTTTGCGAGTGAGCTCTCGGCAAAACCATAGAGTCATTTCGTACAAGGATTATGAACCCCTTAGAACTCTTGTAGAACCATCAAAGGGCTCCTGGAGTTGCGAATCCCTAGCCCCCCAGGTACCTACTATATAGGGTACTATAGGCCCTAGGGCCCTATATAGTAGGCTATATAGGGTACTAGAGCCCCTAGGGCCCTAAAAAAGTAGGTACCTGGGGGGTTACGGAATCTTCGAGACCGAGCCGGACACTCGCCCCAGTCGCCCCAGACGCAATCCACTGCGTCACACTGCTCGGCGCACTTCCTCAGCTGAAGGGGCTCAGGGGTACAGCTCGGTTTAGGGTTTAGGGTTTAGGGGTTTAGGGTTTAGGGATAGGAGGAAACACCACACCGAATCTCAATGACACGAACCCCGGCTCCTCCGGCCTCAACTGCTTTCATGAGAAATCCACGGACCCGGTTCAAGCACCAAATCATGGAGCTTGAGTCTCCCACTGCTATGCTTTCTGAATAGTTTATGGTTCCGGCAACTCGGCACTGGGATCCTGTGGGGAACCCAAAGACCCTTAGCGTCTTAGCCCTAAACCCCTAACACCCTAAAGCCTAAACCCCCAATCCCTGAACCCTAAGCTTTAAACCCCTCAATCCTAAACCCCCAAACCCCCTAAACCCCTCAATCCTACACCCCCCAAACCCCCTAAACCCATCAATCCTAAACCCCCCAAACCCCCAAAACCCCTCAATCCTGAACCCCCAAACACCCCCCAAACCCCCCTCAAGCCTAAATAAACCGGCCTCCTGGGCTCCCCCAAACACCCTAAACCCTAAACCCTAAAGCCCAAAGACAGCCTCCTGGGCTCCTGGCTTGATCTGACACGTGTGGAGCTCTTTGAGTCCCCCCTCGCAGACCTGCCAAGGAGGGTGCAGGTCGCCTTTTCTCGCTCGCTTATCGGAGCCTGTGGTTGGTTTAGGGTTGAGGGTTTTAGGGCTTAGGGTTTTAGGGTTTAGGGTTTTAGGGTTTAGGGTTTTAGGGTTTTAGGGTTTAGTGGTTTTGGTGATGATGATGTTGATGGTGGCAATGATCATCATGACGATGAAAGTGATGGTGCTGATGATGAAGAAGAAGAAGATGATGATGACGATGATGATGATGAGAATGATGATGATTGTGGTGATTATGGTTGTAATGTTGATGATGGTAATGGTGGTGATTGTGATAATGATGATGGTGATGATGATGATGATGATGATGAGAATGATGATGCTGATGATGATTACGAGGATGGTGATGATGGTAAAGATGATGATGAGGAGGAAGAGGGTGATGATGATGATAATGAGGAGCGGGGAAGAGGATGATGATGATGATGATGCTGAGCCTCACTATCAGTAGTACGGACGGTCTGCCTAACAGGCTTAATGCATCAGGGCTTTGGTTGAAGCGTGTTTGGGCTTTGGGGCTTCGAGTAACTTCGCCGGGGGGCCTTAGGGCTTAGATTTATGGAGCCTGAGCCTAGCACTCTACGGTACTATGAGGCTTGTCTTATACTGCGAAGCCCTAAGCACCAGAACGGTGGATCCCGCAACCCCGAGGCCCTGACTTCAATCGTAAAGGCCCAATCAGGCCAAGTACAAAAGACTATACCAACATATCCTAATCCCTAAACCCTAAAGGCCCTAAACCCTAATATCTTCGGCATATCTTCGGACCCCAAGCCTGTGAAGAGCCATACAGTTCAAGCATAAATGCCCTAGCTTTCGGATCCCATGGTTTTGGAAGCAAGCTGAGAGCATCCTGCCTTGCCGCCGTTCGCGGGCTCCTGCGCGACCGTTCTCGTTCTCTCCTTCTCCCCGCGGCCGCACTCCTGGAGCTTTCGGGCTCGTAGCACTTCTGGGTTGACAACGAGCCCCATCTCCCTGTAACGGAGTACATATACTCTGAGATTGCAAGGTGCCCCTTCTTCGTCGATTTAAGAATATTCCTCAAGGAGTATCACTTTAATCCTTAAGCCCTGATCATCTACTGGCACCTTACCACACTGCCACTTTTTCAACGGGATCTTCCCTCACACTTCAAACAAACCCCCAAAGAGCCCCGGAACCTAGAAACCTTACGCCACGTTTCGGGGTTTAAGCTTTTGGGTTCAGGAATCTGACCTAAACCCTAATATCTCTTTTCCCAAGCTCTGACTTAGAGGGTCGAAACGTCTAGGCTGTAGAGTCCTTAGTATAGGCTACGTATCGGGTTTTGGGGCATCATCTGCTACAGTCATAGTATATAGGGCTTTTAAGGGGGATACGAGTAGTAACTACAGAAACCCGTGTAGGTCTCGGGTTATTTGATTCCTGTTGCTTCCCTTCTCCCAGGCTCCGCATCGCAAGTGGTCCAGTCTGTCCAGGCGTTGAGGGCACAGTCCTAGGCAGCATCTAGCTTAAGCCTTAAGCCCCGAACCCAAACCACAAGGGAGTCGTTAAGTATCTGCTAGTGTTGCCCTGCAAACGACTGTCACCACAAGGGGGACTGGCCCAAGCGAGAGTTGCAGAAGTGAGATGAGGCAAGAAGGGTTGCCTGCGTGGTGATGCTCCGATGCTCCTGGTGTGTGCTCACAGCTCGAAAGGGCTTTCGGAAATCTCAGACACTGAGCACTAAGCCCCGGACAAAAAAGAAAACGCAAGAACTTACAAGCACATTTAGAAAGGCCCCATTGCCCCAAAACACCCAGCACCCGCCTAAATCCTTCAAAAAGCCAGTGAAAGACCCGCTGCAATACAAACTCTGAGAGCGCTTTTGTTGCAACCCTTGAGAAATTCTGAAAGCCCCTGTGTCGCCTCCGGTTTTTACACGCTGCGCTACGAAGCAAACTGCTGAAAGCACCTTTTGTCCCTGAATGCTCGAACAACACACTGCGACACGGGGTCTAGGGGGCTTAACAGCAGGTTGTAGGTAGGAACATCATCAGGAGAACTCCAATTAGAATACTTAACTCATCAACAAATCAACAAGAATATCCGACTTAAGTAGTCCCATGATCCTTTCTGCTGCCCCAGGCACGACCGGCTCTGCACCACCGCAGTCGGTACCGTGTTCGTGACAAGGTGCAAGATCATGGACCTAGAGTCTGCGAGTTGATACATAGAAACGATTTCACAGAGGTAGGGTTTAGGAGTTAGAGTGTATGGGTTAGGGTCTAGATTCTAGATTTCAGTAAAGAGATGTGGATTGAAGGGATACATGCTCTGGTTCAAGATGGTTTCGTAGAAATTGGGGACTCGGAACTTGGCCCTAGGTTATAGTATAATTAACGGGTCTCCGTCGGCCTCAGTTAGTCGATTGGGGCTCTGGTGTAGATTCTAGTCTGATAACCATGTCTATTATCAACGAACCTTGGGGAATGATGTCGACCATTCTTCCGATTTCGACAGGGTGCCTGTGGATCCAACATTCTAGTACTTTAAGGGTCGCACCCGAAAGCTATGATAACCTGGCGATAACCTACTATTTCGAGGGTTTGGCACTAGGGGTAGCATTAAACCCTAAACCCCAAACCGGGTAGTAGGGCATACATAACTTGAACAGCTTTCGACGGGACGCTCCCGGACCCCCCTAAACCCTGCAGCGTTAAAGCCCTTGCAACAGGACAAACCCCAACACAAAATCCCCATACCCTAAACCGTAAATCAACCTGAATTCTAACCCTGAGCCCTACACTAAACCGTACAAACCATAAACCCTCAACGCGAATTAACACCTAGACCCTGAGCCCTAAAGACAACCACCAACTAGGCTACCGGCCGCCCCTTCGCAGAAGCCGCCGTTGCCGCTGCCGTAGTGCCTTGCAAAAAAAGTCGTTCCCTCAGGGTCCGTGGGTTTAGGGTTTTGTGCCCGTAAGGATTTCTTTAAGGGGTTCCTTTGAGGGTTCGTAAGGGTATCATAAGTTAGGGCTCTGTTCTACTACCACTACTACTACTACTACTACTACTACTACTACTACGACTCCTACTACTACTACTACTACTACTACTACTACTGCTACTACTGCTATGATTTTATTTTTCAGTTCTTCGGGCTCAAGGATCCATGTACCTCTGTAGAATATACCTTGACCCCTCAGCACCTACATAGGAACCGGCTTTAAGGCTTAAGTACATCATTATAGGCAGCTGCTTGCATCCTTCTGAAAAAAACTTTACGCCCTATTAACCCCTACTTACAACCCCTAAACCCCCTAAACCCTAAGCCCTAAACCCTAAAATCCTAAACCTTATAAACCCTAAACCCTAAACCCTAAAAACCCTAAACCCTAAACCCGAAGCCCTAAGCTCTATCAAGTAGGCACTCGGATCCTCGGGGTTCCAGGTTTCAGGTCTTGTGTGCTTTGAGTTTACGGTTTTCGGGGAAGTGTTTGGGGGCTTTAGGGTTTTAGAAGCTCGGTTCCCCAGTAACCCCTTAATAATAAGGGTACCCTGT